AAAAAAAAAAAAAAGTTACAATGGGTGGCCCCGATCCAGCGTGACTGCTATTCTTATAACAAGGGGGAGTTTGGACATAGACAAGGGCAGAGGGAAACCAGGTGAAGGCCCAGGGAGAAGCAGCCACCTGTCAGCCAGGGAGGGAGAAACAACCCAGCAGCACCCTGGTCTCGGCCCTTCCAGTCTCCAGAACTGCGAGAAAACAAATGTTGGCAGTTCTAGTTACTCAGTCTGTGGTACTCTGTGACAGCAACCCTACCAGACGAGTCGTGTCAGACCCATGACATGATTTTTTTATTCATCCTTCCTTTATCTTATTCATGTGGAGAATGACTTCATCTGCCTAATCGACAAATCAGTAAAAACTGGAAAGGTTCTGACTGCATCGGTATTGTATTTTTTCATTTCCATTGTTTTGTAAAAAATAGCATTACCTGGGCAGTGCCTGTGGCTCAAAAGGGTAGGGCGCTGGCCCCATATGCCAGAGGTGGCAGGTTCAAACCCAGCCCCAGTCAAAGGAAAAAGTATTACCACCATACTAGTCAGAACTGGGGAAACAGCTCATACTGTCCTGTTGGTGACAAAACTGAAACTGAGCCAAACGAAATCTGTTCCAGTCATCATGCCACTTGTCTTGCGCTGGAAACTAAGAAATGGCATGCACATGAAAAACATGGTAATTTATTCTGACATCAAAAGGAAGACATCTTAGCTTAGATCCAGGCATTCCTCATAACTGGAAAAAGTACCAAAGTAAATGCCTAATAAGATCAAAGCTCTCGCATAACTTTGCACAGAAAGAGGAAAACTCCAGCCCTCCCGAGAAGCAGGTACTGTTTACCTCCATGATACACAGGGCGTCAAATATTTCCTTTGAGCAGAATCCCCCTAGGGCAGCAGAAGTGGCAGAGCCACACACCAGCCCAGCTGCCAGATTCAAATGTGCATTTCTCAGCCTTATCTCACTCAGTCCTCCCAGGCGAAGGGAGATCCTCCAGAGGAAACAGCCCAGAGAACACCTGGTTTCTACCAGTCCCACAACTGAACCACTCACATCCACAAATAACCGCTACAAGCCCTTTGGATTTTGAAGTGGACAGTTGGTACCTGGATGGGTGGAAAATCTACTCAAGCGAATATCTATGCTTTTACTATCACTGTTCAGTATTTATTTCAATTTGAAAGCAGTAAACAAAGTTCAGAATAACTGACTGATGGAAACAGGGCAAGGACTAAAGAACGAACTTCAGTCCCTTCACTGGACACAGGACATGTGCAGAAATGATTGGCAGATGTGCAGGTCGTGCCGCACATGTGGAGAAACTGATCAGTGCAGATGTCTGTATTCTGCCCCCCCTACAAGGTACAGACCATCTTCTTCTCAGAATACTGCCTGCTACTGGAAAAATGTAGTCATTCAAAGTAACCATAGGGGACTTTGAGGAAGCCATCTAACTTTGACCCAATAAAGACAGAGCTTGACCTTCTGTTTCTCTAAATCAAGGACCCTTCAAGAATCACAAATTGACCTCCTATCTCAATGACTTTGTTTCTGTCTGGCACATCCATTCGCCAAACCTCAGTTTCATCTGTTAAAAAAAAAAAAGTGGGCTTGGTGCCTGTAGCTCAACGGCTGGGGCACCAGCCTCATATACTGGGGCTGACAGGTTCGAACCCGGCCCAGGCCTGCCAACAATGACAATTACAACAACAACAACAAAATAGCCAGGCACATGTAGTGCCAGCTACTTAGGAGGCTGAGGCAAGAGAATTGCTTAAACCCAAGAGTCTGAGGTTGTTGTGAGCTGTGACACCATGGCACCCTACCGAGGGTGACATGGTAAGACTCTGTCTCAAAAAAAAAAAGTGGGTTCCCTACCTTTAATAGTAGAAAACCTTAGATCCTCAAGGATTAAGAAAAAAGTAAAATACTTAGGGGTTTGGGACCTTGGGACGGGGCTGGAGGGGCAGATGGCAAAGGCCAAGGAATCAACAGTACACAACCCAAATTCTTGGTACCTGGAGTGTGACAAGCAGAAAGACGGCAGCCGTGATGCACAGGCAAGATGCCAAAACCTTCCTCCTCTGAATCCACACCATGCTGCCCTGCCCTGGGTGACTGACGGCAGGCTAACCTGGCTACCAGGTGTTCTCTAGTCAGCCCACAGCCTGAGACGACTTCACGTGGAGGAACCATCTGGGTGCCAATTTCCTGCACTGCCATTCCTGCTGGGGCCCCGTCTCCATTAAGGACAGAGATCTGAGGTTCTGAGTGGGCCTGGCTGGGCATTAAGAGCGAACAGCATGTAGTCTTCTTAGGCTATCATCAGAGCAGCTGGAGATTCTTCAAACAAGAAGCCATCAAAAAATTCTGTAACAAAAGAATAGATAATCTTTTAGCCATGGTGCAGAAGATTTAATAAACTCAGTCTTGTAGGGTTATCATGGAGAAATCTGGAAGTTTTAAACTAAAAGCAACTCTTAAAATTATGTAGTCTTTTTTTTTTTTTTTTTTTTTTGAGACAGAGCCTTAAGCTATTCCCCTGGGT